TACGGTATTTTATAAAAAATTCTTGAAATATTTCTGAATTAAGAATCTTTGCATTTTACCGCGATATCATGGCAAAATTCTTGTCTCTATGATTTAATGTTCATGTTAATGTTTTTTCAGTATGCAAAATGTATAATAAAGACTCAGCCTCGGTCTTGATAATTTACGGTATTATGCTCAGCCTCATCCAATAATTGCTTATGAACAGTACCTCTTACACATGTAACGTTTAACCCGTGCGCGTCGTGCTTTGACTATTTGTGCGTATTTTGAAGTTTCACAGAACAAAACATTTTCTAAACACTTCAGTTTATTCAATAGTTTACATTTGTGGACATGAAAATATATTTATTCGTATTTGACAATCTTCTTATTACTCGATACTTTTTACAATTGCAATGTTCGGTTATTACAAATTTATTCTCTTCAGTGAAACATCCTGTTTCATTCTTTTCCATATGGTAAGTGACTAATCATTTTTGTTTGTCAGTGGATGCTATTCTTCTTGAGTTTAGTCTCCACAGTTTAACACACTAGCTATCTTGCAGATACTTTCCAAAACTGCTTCTGTCTGAAGAGGGAAAGAAATAATACACTCGGTTAAACCTTCAAACTTTTATATTTTTTACCCTGCTGAAACAACTCACAGATTGAACCCTGAAACAGCCTCTGGGCTGATCAAAGTCAGGGCACGGCTAACTCACAGATAGAGCCCTGAAGCAACCTCTGTGCTGATCAAAGTCAGGGCACGGCTAACTCACAAATTGAACCCTGAAACAACCTCTGGGCTGATCTAAGTCAGGCCGGCGGGGCACGGCTAACTCACAGATTGAACCCTGAAACAACGTCTGGGCTGATCTACACTAAGTCAAGGCACCTAACTCACAGATTGAAGCCTGTGAAGCAACCCTCTGGGCTGATCTAAGTCAGGGTACGGCTAACTCACAGATCAAACCCTGAAACTACCTCTGGGCTGATCTAAGTTAGGGCACAGCTAACTCACAGATCAAACCCTGCAACAACCTCTGGGCTGATCTAAGTCAGGGCACGGCTAACTCACAGATCAAATTCTGAAACAACCCTCTGGGCTGATCTAAGTCAGGGTACGGCTAACTCACAGATAAAACCCTGAAACAAGCTTTGAGCTGATCAATTAAAGTCAGGTTCAGGGCATGGCTAACCCACAGATCTGGGAAACAGAACTAGAGAAATTAATAGATTGATCGCTGCCCTTTCAAGTTCTTTCAACTTTATAAAGTAAATTTACGAGAGTTCTCACCTTGAGATCTGAACCATGTGAATATTTCATGAAGCGTTTAGTGTTCTTCATAGCAAGTCGAGGTTTCGTTGGTGTCCGGGGCAGACTTCCACTTGGATTTCCACCTAGCGATAGAAGTCCTTCACATTCATTAATTATAAAGAAGCTAGCGAACAAAGAAACCAATAGCAGCGTACTTAAGGATAAAGAAGACTTCATATTGTGAATCTAAGATAGAACGGCTTGAAGTTCGTATGGCCTGGTTTCAACTCGCTTAGAAACAGACTGACTGAAGCTCCTTTTATAGAGGGTGGTTCGACTAATGAGTTGATAATGCAATTAGGTAAAGCCCACTTGGAGTGGGAGGTTTGACTCGGTTATTTATCATCCTGGCTAACAGTAAAACTTTTCTTCATGAAAAGAACCAATTAATTGAATCATGAATAAGATCTGTTTAAAAATGTGAGTGACTGTAACAGCTGGTACCAGGAATCCCGTAGAAGGCGGGGAAAATAGCGTCTCAAATTTACGGAACCTTGAAATTAAGGTTTTCAAGTAAACTCAGTGAAAATTTATCCGGATATTTAAATGTTTTCTGTTTTTAAAACTTGTTTTATTCCAACAAAGGAAATCATCACTTGATCCCCCCTTGAATATAATATATTTTATAAAGTAATTAGCATAAATAAGAGCGTTCCTCATCTAATTCAAACATAATACTTTTGTGTCTTTCATCCGAAAATAACATTTGAATAGACTATGTAAGTATTTTAGGCCTAGGATGTAATTTCCCAATTGCTCCAGTTAATTATAGTTTTCACTAGATTCAAAAGTTGTTATTTGTAATTTTAGAGATAAAAATACTTTGATGATTAAATTAAGAAACGAATAAGTAATTTTCTGAAAAAAATTGCCTGCCGATGGAATTAAGAACGGCAAAGGTTCTCATTGCAAAAAGCAGCTTGCCACGAACGAGGACTAAGCTTCAAACGGCTTTCATGTAAAGCAGTTATTCCAATTTTGTTCTTATCATTTATCGTATTTACTAGTTAATTTTTGTGCAATCATATATCTATGTACTTTTACTGATGAGACATCCATACATAAATAAAGGAATTTATCTATCCATCCATCTATCTATCTATGAACGTTCGAGACACAAGTACACTGGATTTGAAATCAATTTATTGAATCTTGATAACAATAAATAAGATCATCTTTGACGATTGTTTGGTTAGCTGGTCAGGAACAGAAACATATAATCTTAAAAATAATAATCTTTGTGATAATGCTAGTAATTCTTTTCAAATTTTGCCCAGTTTCACTGACACACACTACCACTACATTCAAAATTCTCTGTACAACTCTCAATTTATGATTGCAGCTGGTCAGGTCAGTACAGAAATAAGTAATTGTTATATCATAATTATCTTTTAGAAGTGGGTGTTCATATGAATAAATTTAGTAGGAATACTGCTATTCAATTTAGCCCCGCTTTCACTTAAACACCACCACTGCTTTTTTTATTTTTTTTATTTTTTATTTTTTATTTTTGAGACAGAAACATTTTATTTTACAAAATACAACAAAATACAAAGGTGTATTATTTACAATTTAGGAGGGGAACACTAGGTGTTGCCCTCTAGATGTTTACATACAAAGGTTTATTATTTACAATTTAGGAGGGGAACACTAGGTGTTACCCGCTAGATGTTTACATACAAAGGTGTATTATTTACAATTTAGGAGGGGAACACTAGGTCATGTTGCCCTCTGGATGTTTATATACAAAGGTGTATTATTTACAATTTAGGAGGGGAACACTAAGTGTTACCATTTAGATGCTTACATTTTTTTCCTTCTTTCTTTTATATATATATCTCGATTGCAGAAACGTTGTAGTATACTTTTATACATAATACGAAATAACCATTTTCAACGCTTAAAACCAACTGATTTATAATCTGTAC